GTCTCTGGATTTTCCCCCCCCTGCCGTGGGTTTCTTTGGCTTCCTTTGGGCATTGCACGCTCTGGGGGAATGCTGAGGAGGGGAAGGGGGGGGGTGTGTGTGACATCGGTGTGGCCCCCCCCCCCAAAATGTAGGGAATCTCACCCCACATTCCCTTGGGCACATCCCGTTTCATCCCCACACCGATTCCTCCCCCCCCAGCCCCATCTCTCCAGGACCCCACAGCCCTATGGGGGTTCACCAGGCTGGGGACAATCACAACGTACCAGTGTGTAGGACACCCCCCCCCTCAGCCCCCCAAAAACACTCAGGGCTGGGGGGCTGAGCCCCTGAGGGTGCTTGAGGGGGGGTCCCTGCTCTGCCTGCGGCTCCGTGTCCCCACAGGAGGGATACGGTGGGGGACGTCGGGATGGGGATCCGGCACCTCCGGCAGAGAAAGCATCTCTATTTCTGCAACTGCGAGTCCACGGGGAGGGGGTCAGCGAAGTTCCCCCCCCCCGGAGGAAGCCCCCCCTTAGACAGGAGAGAGGCACGTCTCCCGGCACAGGTCCTTGTGCCACGGTGGGGTGGGAGGGGGGGACACACCACCCCGCCGCCATCCTTAGTTCCTCGCCGCGATGACCACGGACAAGGCCACGCCGCCGAGAGCGATGGCTGTCGCGCCGAAGAGCCACTTCCAGGGGATGGACTACGGGGAGGAGAGAACGGTGAGGTGATGGGATGAGTGGGGACGTGGCAGGAGGCCCACTGGCAGTGGGGACATGCCAGGAGCCCCACCGGCAGCAGGGACGTGCCCAGGCGCCCCACCAACAGTGGGGACGTGGCAGGAGCCCCACCAGCAGCAGGGATACACCAGGAGCCCCACCAGCAGCAGGGACGTTCCCAGGAGCCCACCAGCAGCAGGGACATGGCAGAAGCCCCACTGACAGTGGGGACATGCCCAGGAGCCCCACTGGCAGCGGGGATGTGCCCAGGAGCCCCACTGGCAGCGGGGACGTGGCAGGAACCCCACTGGCAGTGGGGACACACCAGGAGCCCCATTGGCAGCAGGGACGTGGCAGGAGCCCCACCAACAGCAGGGACACGCCAGGAGCCCCACCGGCAGCGGGGACATGGCAGAAGCCCCACTGACAGTGGGGACATGCCCAGGAGCCCCACCAACAGCAGGGACGTGGCAGGAGCCCCACTGGCAGTGGGGGCGTGGCAGGAGCCCCACTGGCAGTGGGGGCGTGGCAGGAGCCCCACTGGCAGTGGGGGCGTGGCAGGAGCCCCACTGGCAGTGGGGGCGTGGCAGGAGCCCCACTGGCAGTGGGGGCGTGGCAGGAGCCCCACTGGCAGTGGGGGCGTGGCAGGAGCCCCACTGGCAGTGGGGGCGTGGCAGGAGCCCCACTGGCAGTGGGGGCGTGGCAGGAGCCCCACTGGCAGTGGGGGCGTGGCAGGAGCCCCACTGGCAGTGGGGGCGTGGCAGGAGCCCCACTGGCAGTGGGGGCGTGGCAGGAGCCCCACTGGCAGTGGGGGCGTGGCAGGAGCCCCACTGGCAGTGGGGGCGTGGCAGGAGCCCCACTGGCAGTGGGGGCGTGGCAGGAGCCCCACTGGCAGTGGGGGCGTGGCAGGAGCCCCACTGGCAGTGGGGGCGTGGCAGGAGCCCCACCAGCAGCGGGGACATGGCAGAAGCCCCGCTGACAGTGGGGACATGCCCAGGAGCCCCACCAACAGCAGGGACGTGGCAGGAGCCCCACTGGCAGTGGGGACGTGGCAGGAGCCCCACCAACAGTGGGGATACACCAGGAGCCCCACCAGCAGCGGGGACATGGCAGGAGCCCCACAGGCAGCGGGGACGTGGCAGGAACCCCACCAACAGTGTGGACATGCCAGGAGCCCCACCAGCAGTGGGGACACACCAGGAGCCCCACCAGCAGCGGGGACATGGCAGGAGCCCCACCAGCAGCGGGGATACACCAGGAGCCCCACCAGCAGTGGGGACACACCAGGAGCCCCACTGGCAGTAGGGACATGGCAGGAACCCCACCAACAGTGGGGACATGGCAGGAGCCCCACCAGCAGCGGGGACATGGCAGGAGCCCCACCAGCAGCGGGGATACACCAGGAGCCCCACCAGCAGTGGGGACACACCAGGAGCCCCACCAGCAGCAGGGACGTGCAGCCCTGCCTGCGCTGGCCCAGGGCCACGGGGCAGCCCCGAGCTCCCAAGGTGCATCCCAGATAAAAACGCAGCCCAAAAAGGCAAGTGCGGTGTCGGCTGTGCCCAGCGGGCGCCCGGCACGTCGGCGGGGACAGCGTGTGCCGCCGGTGGCCCAGCTGACGAGCGCTTTTCCAGCCAGGCAGCCAACGGGCTCCAGAGAGCAGCAGCTGGGAGCAAAGTCCGGACCCTCCAGCTGGCAGCGCCGGGATCCGTCGGACGGAGCCAGGATCCGTCGGACGGAGCCAGGAGCACAGCCGGGGCCATCGGTGTTTTCCTGGCAAGGCTGCCATATCCACCCCCATCCACCTTGCTACCCCGACACAGCCCACCCCATGGGTCACATCAGCATCCCCCCACCCAGCAGCAGGACTGCGCCGACCCCCAGGGACTTGGGGGACACCAAGCCCGGTGACCCCCACCCGCTCTGCCACCCCCCCATCCCCGGGGAGGTCACACCGGCCCTTACCCAGGGCAGCTTGTCTTTGCACTTCCCCGGAGCGCCGGCGGCGCTGGGATTGCCCAGCATCTTTCTGTACATCTCTGTCTCCACGTTCTTCTGGTCCGCGTGCTTCTTCACCAGCTTGGAGAGCTCGGCGTGGATGGTCTGGGGGGGAGAGCACAGCCATGGGGCAGGGGAGGGGTCGGGACCCCAGTGCCACCCCCAACAGGTCCCATCACCCCAGGGCTGTGCAGGAGCTTCATGGAACAGCTTAAAAGCAGAAGGGGTGGGGGGCTGATCCTGCCCCACTCCCTGGGAACTGAGGGGCAGCAGCAGGCTGGCATGGGACACACGTGGGTCTGAGTGCCCCTCTTGTCCCTTCTTGGCCACCCAAGCCGTTCCCTGGGGAGCAGAACCCGGGGCTGGTGCCAGCCATCAAGAAAAGGATTTTTTATCCTTTAATCGAGCTGGAAAAGTTCCTGCCTCGGGGACAGACGTGCCTGAGCTCTCCCACTTTTCTGTCTGCGAAAACGGGCTTCATCTCAGCCCGGTGCGAGGCGGGATTGCAGCAAGACCCGGGAGCGTGTCGGTGCCTGCCCGGCTGCACCGAGCCGTGGCGATGGCTGGGAAGCTCCACGTCCTACAAGGAGCTCGTAGGCTCCCCAAAAACCAGCCAGAAGCACCGGAGAGCTGAGTACAGCACCACCAGCCATTCCCCGAGCCCGGGGTGGCAGGAAAGACGTCGCGGTGGCTGCGGTGGCGCAGCCGTCCAGTGCCACGGCCGTGCTGTGCCCTCTGCTGGGGATGCCTCCCCGAAAACATCGGCCAGGGCTTCACCAGACCATGCCACGCTCGGCACCATTGCCTCGAAGAGGAGACTTTGTAGGGTGAAAACAACAGCAGACAACCCTCGAGCTCCCCGGGGCTGCCACGTCGGTGTAGGACAAACATCGGCATCTCCTCCTGCTCCCGGAACGAGCATTTCCAAGGGGTCAGGAGAAGGGAGCCCAGCAGCTACTGGTCTGTAAGACCTAAAAGGTGCTGACAGCCCCAAAGAACCAGGTTTCCTCATCCCAGGCAGGTGGAGCTGAGTGTTTCTTGCATCTGTTTTCACCACCGGTAGCCGTAGCCCCGTGAGTCAGCGACGCGTGTTTTAACGCTGCCGTCTGGAGTGGCACCACCACTGCCCCGGGAGTCCCGGCAGAGCCAGCCGGAGAGGCCAGTAATTTGCTGTCCTTGTGGTTTCACTGGTAACGTCACTGCCGGGCATTTTGATTTTTCACCCCTCTCCAATTAAAAGCTTCATCCCGAACGGGCTGGCGAGCAGCCGCCCTGCCAGCAGCGACGTGCCGGAGACGCGCAGGGGAATCTGCTCCCGGTGCTGTCGTTTGTGTCGCTCGTTTGCTGCGGCTGCCCACCCTAACCTCGCCAAGAACTGAAGGGTTTGAGATCCTGCTCATCCCTCCTCGCTCTGTGGGACCACTGAGAAACTGCTTCCACGGTGCCCCATCCTACCCACGACCAGACGATGACACAAATTGTGAAATTCCCAGAAAAAAGAGGCGGATAAAACGACAGACCCAGCCAAGGACTAAAGCCCACCTGTAGAACCAAACACCCTGCGCAGGCAGCGCCTCCCTGCCTCACCCCCAGCTCCCTTCCTGCTGGGTCCATTTCCTGGCACTGGTTTTTAATTTCTCCCCAGGCTCTAGTCCTGCAGCTGATCATTAACCGACAGGAAATTCCTGACCCAAGAGCTCGCCCTGGCCCGGGCGCTGGACCCAGGTCTGGGCTGCTCCTCACCGCCCCGGTGAATCACTCTCTGGGCTGCTGGGTGAGTCTGCAGGGACTCAGCTCTGCTCCACGTCCCGCAGCCACGGCACGAGCCACGGGGAAGCCAGAGGAGCCAGGATCATCCATGCAGGATGGCTGAAGCAGGGATGGATTGGCAGGAGTGGGTTGGCAGGGAATTCTGCCACTGCAAGGACCAAAGGGCAAAGAGAGAGTCTCGCAACGCAGAGATAAGAGACCCAGCAGCCAAGCCAAGCTCAGATGTTGCCCCACAGGGTGCATCACCCCACAGCTGCCTGGTTCCTGGGGGCTACTTCCAGTCTCTCTTCATGGAGGAAGCTGGGAACAGCTATAGGGGGGTGGAAATCAACCTTCCACAGGGAACACCGAGGTTTGCAGGGACACAGACAAGAGGAGAGCATCCTACAGACACCCAGAATGATATGGGGTTGGAAGGGACCTCTGGAGATGATCTAGTCCAACCCCCTACCAGAACAGGTCCACCCAGAGCAGGTCCCACAGGAACGTGTCCAGGTGGGGTTTGAATGTCTCCAGAGAAGGAGACTCCACCACCTCTCTGGGCAGCCTCTGCCAGGGCTCTGCCACCCTCACAGGACAGAAGTTCCAGCGCAGCAGGATCACCACGAGCAGCCTACCTTGTTTGAAGGCTCCAGCTTCAACGCCGCCTTTAAGATGGGGATGGCCTCTCTGTATTCACCCTGCTGAGCCAGGACCTGGGAGGAGAGATGGGGATTGAGCAGGACAGCTGAGCTCTGTCCCTCTGTCCTGCCCTCCGTCACGCCGTGGAGAAGGGATGGCAGCACCCGGCCTCACCTTTCCCTTTCGGAAGAGGGCTTTGATGTTCCCTGGCTGGTGCTCCAAGACGAGGTTACAGGACTTGAGGGCTGCCTCGTAATGGTCCAATTTAAGCTGAGAGGCTGCCAGGTTGTTGAGACATTTCACCTTCACGTCCAGCAGCTCAGCCTCCTCGTCCGGGCTGAAGTCAACTGCAAAGAACCCCAGAGGCCAGGTTAGAGCAGGAAGGGATCCCAGGTGGCCCTCACCCAAGGTGGGAGAAGGTACCTTTGGAGCTAGAGCCGATGATCTTGAGGGCGATGTCGTAGGAGTTGATGGCCAGCACGTAATCTGCCTGCTGGTAGAAGAAGTTGCCACGCTCCCGCTTGCGGTTGGCCAGCTCGACCTTCTCCTTCCCACTGAGCAGCTCCAGGTCTGGCCCGTCCTGAGCCTTCAGCAACTCCACCTCCAGGGTGAGGGCCGCGTTGGGGGGGATGTCAGGGCTCCTGAGGAAAAGAAAGCACAAAGCCATGGCACTGTTACCACCTCTGCCGGTCCCACCACCCACCAAGCCACGTAGATTTAGCACCACGGCCCAAAAATCAGAGCTACAGAAGCTACCCAGGACAGGCTACGATGCAGATTGTCCCCCCCAGGCAGGACATGTACTCTGTATGTGGCAAGTGAGTGGGTGTCTCTGCCCCTGAAGCTGTGGCTTAGCTGGCTGGGCTGTCCCCAGGAGCAAGGGGATGGCTTTCACAGCCCCGTTTGGGGCCATCCCCGTGCCCTCCCCACTCACCTGCCCTGCGCCCCGTAGCAGTACTTCGCATCCGACACGATCAAAGCCGTCTCCCCCATTTCCAGGAGCTGCACACACAGGTCCAGAGCCTGCAGGGAACACCGCCGTGAAGAGAGAGCACAACCAAGGGCAGAGGGGCTTCTTCCAACTCGCAAACGGGGACATCACTGACCCCAAACCCTCCCTGCACCCCCCAAGGTGACACCCTCCTTCGCAGAGTTCAAACAAGGTATATATTCACCCAATAAAGCCAAGCAAAGCTTTCTCCCAGCTCTGACCTGCAGGACGTCGCAGTCCCCCAGCGTGAAGGTGAGGGCAGGGTTCTCCTCCACCACGCTGCCATCCTCCAGCGTGGCCTTCAGGCGGATGGTCACGTCCTGGCCCTTCCTGGGACGAGTGTCCACACCCTGGCCCGGCACCAGCGTCTTCTTCTTGAGCAACCCGCTCCCTGGGCATGGAGAAGCCGGAGGAGCATCAGCCCACAGCCGGGAGGGGAAAATCCTCACTCCCACCACTCCACTCTGGCTCCCAACTGGCCTTCACGGTACCGGGAGCACCGGTTCAGCCGCAGAGAAGCCCGTGAGGCCCCACAAGCCCAGCGCCCCCCCTGCCCGGGCTCTCACCCAAAACATCGAGCCATTCCTCGGGGTCCCCAGGTGCGTCCCCCCCGCCTGGCTGGGCGTCCTCCCGTGGCGGGGCCGGCGGCCTGCCCACATCCTCCAGCGGCGGCAGCTCGCTCAGGTCTTCTTCCTCCTCCTCCTCCTCTTCATCCAGCACCTCAAAATCTTCCAAGGTGTCCAGCTGAGCGGTGTCGGCCGTCGGTACCGCCTCGGTGCCGGTGCCCGCCCGGCCCAGGGAGTCGCTCCTCGGTTCCTCCCCGCTGGAGGCCATGGCGGCGGAGCGACCTGCAGGCGGGAAGAGAGAACGGGGGAGGAGGGTCAGGCTGCGCTTACCGGGGGGGAAGGAGCCGGAGGGAGCGCGGCCGCCATCCCGGACAGCACCGGGGGGGGTGCGCGGCTGGGACCGGGGAGACCCCGCCGGCCCCGGGGAGGAAACGGGCCCCGCGGGGAGGGGAAAGAAGAGGAGAGAGACGGCCCCGGTACCGGTAACAGGAGGGATCGCCCCCCCCAACCCTCCCCTA